GTCTTGCCCCAGAGTTTTCCCAGTGTCCAGTGTTCGCCAAAAAATATTTTTTAAAAATTACCAAACTCCAACATTTCATTCGTTGTATATACCCCTCCACCCCGCTCCCCCCGTCGCACCTAGGATACAGTCGTCGAGACAGACGCATAGACACACAAACAGCTTCTAGTTTATGTATAGAGAGATACGGGGATGGGGGATCATCCTACATAATTCACTCCCCAGGTTCGCTTGAGGGCGAATTGCAAATTTTTGAAAGGTTCGTTGTAAGCACTGCCCATTCGTAGCTGGCCCGCCCAATATGGGTACTCTCGTCCGTCAACTGATTGCCTTTCGTTTCCCGCAGTTTCCACTCTCCCGGCTCTCTTGGGAAAGAATTACGAATTTTTGAAGTTTTTGTAGCAAATGCCGCCCATTTAAAGTACGCCCCGCCCACTACGGGTGCGTCTCCCTCATTTCGTCCGCCAACTGACTGCCTATCGTCTCGCACTTATTCCGCTTTCTCCGCTCTTCTAGAACCGAAATACGAATTTTCGAAATAAAAGGCTCCTGGTCAAGGGCAAGCCCCGCCCATAGTGGGCGGAGCTTAGCTCAGTTCATGTGTGGTCCATACATCCTGGCCCATACCCTACCCATACCACCCTTGACCATGCCCCTCAAACTGGCTCTTCTGGTAATGCCGAATTTCCGGACAGACTCACAAACACACAGACAACTTCTGGTTTATATAAAAGGGAGATTCTGGAAATTAGGTTCTTGACTTCCTAAGGGTTCCCTTGGGAATCAAAAAAGCTGATACTCGACTTTGACATAAAAACGAGATCGACCGCTTCTTCCCATTGCTATCGCCGCTACTCTGAAAGAGCAGGATCGAGAAGGTGCCTTATTAACACGAACAACGCTTATCATCCACAATAAATGTTCAAATAAAGTACGCAGCCACGCCCACTCCATTGCTGGGATGGGCAGTGTAAATGCCCTCCCCCACACTCCCGCCCCCAAGGCTGCCTTCGTGCCTTGCGACCGAAGAATGGGCAAGAATGATCAGATACGTTCCGATTTATTTCCGCACTCCTCATTTTTTCAAATCGATTCGTATTTAGTCCTTTCCAACGATTCTTCAACTTGTCAATTTTACACTGACCAAGGTGTGAACAAGGCCTGAATGTAAAGTCGCGGTCAGTATCCATTGTTCCTCACTGATGAACATTTTGTACGAATCCGTATGAAACCCACTAATATGGTTCAATTACGAACTTACTTTGCATACTTCAGGAAAAGCTTTGAGAGACCTCAGGGAGTTGACTGCATTCATTCGTCGCTGGTTTCCATGCAGACCCTACATATGCGTAATGTTCCAACGCATAACGTGATTCGCGAACATTTAACGAATATAAATCAGATACTAATTGGACGACCGTTGGGTAACCTTGTTCCACACTCCTCACGATTTGTCCCCTTTTCCGCAAGAGCTAATGGGTAACTCAAATTCTTCACGAACTTTTATTGGACAAATTCAAAAATGTTAATGTAGCAAATAAATACTGCAGAAATTAAGGGTCAATTCATAGAACATGATTACGCATAGGTTCAACAAGAGATTTGTGCGTAACAAAACAGCACACGTGCACACTTTTAGTTAAATTCAATGCTGGTCACTTCGATCTCGCCATCGATTCGCATGCCAATGTAATCGTGCACTGGATCTTCCGTGCGATGTGCGAACGCTCCAATTTGTTCGTTGTTCACGAAGAGCTGGAAATGGGGGAAAAATAAGTCATTTCCAAGTGGATATTCAGTGAACAGAAAAGTATGGCAGGATGTACAGTCGTTCCACGCAAGCGATAGGGCGTGTAAGTGGGCGTGAGTTGAACCGCAGGCGGACTCAGGAGGGCATCATTGATGGGAAAGCCGCTTTGGCAGAGCTCCAGTCCGCACACACCATATCGTTTGTAGGGATTATGACAGTATATTTCAGGGGCACGAAAAATTGACAGTAACCCCTTAGCATCCAGACAGGTTTTTTCCCTGATTTCCATGCAGTTCCGAATCCGCCTCCCACGACTTTTAAGCTAGCCGTGCTGTCCGAGCAGGACTAGAGGTCATGAAAGAGGTCAACACACAGCTTTTGAAACAGGGTTCTCTTGGCGCCCTAGAAGTGCATGAGATGGAAAGAAATCTCCAAGTTGTATTCACTACATGCAGAAGAGGCAGTCGTACAGGATCTAATACAGGAACTAATACAGGTCTATGGAGCTGCGGGGACTGGCCGATGTACGAATCAGTGTTTTGATTCTTCGAGACAAACTTGGCACCAATTTACCGTTCCCGGAGAGAGAAAGCTTGGGTGGTCTGGACAAGAGCCGACCCGTTATTTGTCCCCTGGATGGCGCGTGTAGCAAGTGTTCCACCTGCCACTATATCTCCTCCGCTGCGGTAAGAATTATACAAATAGGGAAACTTCAACAAAGAAATAAGAGAAAGCTCAACCAAGCTTCAAACTTCTGAACTGTAAGGACAGCAGCGGGCGTCTCCGGCAGCAGAACGAAGAAAAGGAGGCAACATGGGAGGAATAACGGTTGTTTTCCACCAGCAATCAAAGTCGCTCTGCGTCGCATACTGCTGTTGGAAACAAATCCTACTCGCTCCATACCGATATTCGTGTTTACTGCCTTTGGTCTGAGGAAGTGGATGGGAAGGTAGTGCGGATCACCGGGGGTGCGTATTCCGGAGGTCAAATTTCCGGCTCCAGCCCTGACTAGCAGCGTTTCCGCCCGTCCGAGCTTAGATAACGTCGGACCAAACTCATTCGCCAAGATAAAACTTAATTTACACTAGCTGTTCCTGGGCAGTTTGCTTGGATAAGCCAAACACCATTCAAAGGGTGCGTGCGATTCTGAATGGGAATGAAAGGCGTAGCGCATCCCAAAATAAGCTATTGACGTCGAAACCCAAGTTTCCTCTTGAGATACCTTGGGAGCGTGCCCTTGAAAGACAGTTCAGCTCCTGTACAAGAATGAACTTGCTAATAACTTTTCAGGAACAAGTTATGTGCTAATAACTGGAATTGCATTGCATCCCAATGAACCTGCGGCTCATAGATGTTAATGGGCTTCGAATTCTCTGGGCTGTTCTGGTTCTTAACGTCAATTTATGCAAAGATTGTTCAGCTGAACAAACACTTTCATAGCATAAACTGGGCAATCATGCTCTGAAGTACTCACCTGAATTGAGTAGGGCTCGTTCTGAATGGTCAAGTCAAAACCGCGTTCCTTCTCGAACGGAAATGGTCCTTCGCGCTCCTCTTTGGCCCATATTCCGTTCTTGTATGAATTGCGGACGATCTGGCGATACAGCAGAATTTAAAAACCAATACTTTGAATTTACGGGCAAGTGAATACCTTACCTGCTTCTCCTTGAATCGGGGATTGAAGTGGAACAGGATGTCACCACCCCTGCCAAGCAGATCGAGGCTCCAGCGGTCGCCCTTAGGAATGCCGTACACGAGGATCTTCTGACCTAAAACACATCGCTGAGTGCACGAAAATTGAAAGAAAAATCGGGAACAGCACGACTTACTAGCTTTAAGATGTCCCTCGGGGAACGCTGACTCCCATGGAACTTGGTAGAATCTGCAATTTTACCGTATATCGTTTCACTGCTATGAGGGAACGACCCAGTGGAACCGGGCCAAAAGATACGAGTTGCGGCGAAAAGCAGATAGTTGCTTGGCGACGACGGCTTTTCAGTCAGTTGCCCCGATTTGGTTTAGTACGTTCTAACGTATGAGGTCCTGGCGTAAGTGCTTCTCAAGCAACGCCACTTGTAATGCCGCTTTCTGCTGCAACCTAGACCTTCTGGCTCACGTCCTGCAATCCACAACTTACCTTCCACCCCAGTGGACGCCGCTGAGTGTGCAGTCTCCCTTTATCTGGAGATATTCAATCTCAGCGAATGGCATTCGGTGCTTGTAATTGTGGACCGACTTACCATCGCATGAGATCTCCATAAAATCAACATGAACCCTGAAAAAAATCCATTAGTCTCTATTTGCTGGATACTGGGATAAAAGATACTACAAAACAAAAATTCATTGTTGTCATATTTCTTTCACCTTCAGAATATTGGATGTTTTCATTAGCTTTAGGAACCACAGAACTGTTACGGAGAGGAAAATTCCAATAAAATACGCCACCACGAAATTCCCTCCTCTGGTACGAACCCAACCTTGCCAGAAAATTTGTCGTCTGCCCGGGGATGGTATCCTATCGAGCGCAACGTCAACAATCGAAAAAAGGATTGTATCCTTAAGCAATAGAGACGACGGTCTCTTAAAGGCAGTTGGCACGATGATTTGGTGCTCGGCCTAAAATGCTAGTAGGGCGCTATATAGTGGGGAAATGGCGAAAGAACGGAGTGAAACGGTCAAAATCCTGCGAAGAAAGAGCCTCCGTTCTCAATGTGTTCAAAATCAATTTTGGACGAGTTTCCCGTAGGCATCTTGCCAATAACCGCTACCGAAGGTACGGCTGCATATGTGTACTCATATATCCATGCAGCATCACGGCCGCTTCATACCAATCCCTTCGCTTCATAATTTGCTTAGCAAATGAATAGAGCGTCAGGAACGGTCGTCCACTTGGTGTGGGTGGGCCGTGGCGGATGAAACGTTTGGATTCGTATAATTCGTAGCTATGATAGGGGCCTCTTAAACGGGCCCAGAATCCGCTGAAACATTATTGACCAAGTGCCCTGCTCCAGGATCGCCGGAAAATGTCGCATCCTACCATGTAAGCTTGGAAAAAAACACGACGGCGAGGATTCTATTGTCAAGATTTGCAAGAAAGTAGTACATGGAGTATTCCAGGAGCTCATAGCTGCATCCCTGGTTGGGTGAAAATTGAAACAAGAACGTGTCGAACCCAGCAATGCGAGCTTCCTCCTATTCGTCGTTAACGCCCCAAAGGGTTTGTTCACTTGCAATGGGGAGGAAATGAGCCCATCCGCGGCGTTTCACCACTGGTTGTTTTTTTCCTGAATCGATCACTAACCGATCACTATTGGTAGAGCAAGGCAGCCGAAGGCGGTCTTATTCCGCCCCTCCTGAACCGCCCTACCCAACAGCGACTTTATCGACTATCTGCACAAATGCGGAATCATAGAGAACTGAGAAAAAGCGGAGGCTACAGACGTACAGGCGCTAGGTCGTGCTCCAACCGATTCTTCCTCCAGAGCAACAAAGGCTCGAGAAATTAATAGTTCTGAATGTGCTCGGGAGAGTAAGAAATATATGTGGAAATCGACCAAAGCCTACAAAAGAGGTGTGTGATGGAAACAAATAAGTAAAAGGATAAAGTCTTCGCCGTTGATCAATCCCTTTGTGGGATGCGGCACGCATTCTACTTCCATTCAGAATCGTAGTGGCTTATTGAATGCGATGTGGCCTATACAATGACTTGCGGGGGCCAGCCGATGTACAAGTCAGTG